TAATCCATAATCCAAAGAAACAAGTGACACGGTAAACATCGAGCTCATCCATAAAAATAGTAAAAAAAAATAGTTTTAAAGTGATAATAGCCTTATTTGTGTTATATTAGTGAATAATTGGTGGTAATATAAACACTATACTGTTATCTGTAAAAAAAACCTATACTTAACAAAAACAAAAACGATTAAAAGTGAAGTGTGAAACCTAGTGCAAAACAATAAAAAAACCACAATTATACATTCATTGGAGGGTGTTGTACGTTAACTCTTATTCTAGTAACAATTGAACATTAAAATGTATCAATTTATGAACTTAACAAATCATGTTTAAACTAATCGAATATAATTATTTATGTAGAACCGTTAATTCAAATTTTGAAGATAAAATCATTATTAATAACAGCGATATCTATTGATGAACAGTGGAAATTCTTTATGTATAGTATAATTACCATTTAACAACGTAATTACGCAGCATGACATCTAAAATCAACGCGAAAACTACCAACAGCAACCACAAGATGCCGGCAGTAGTAACATGCTACACACGGAGCAAATATAAAGAGGAGACGGCCTAAGCGACTGTGCACTGTGATTCTAACTAGGTCCTGACGTCATCACAGTGGGCGTGGCTTTAGTTAGTATACTGTCAGCGTTCGTCCTGTGCACATCGGTGTCGAAAATTGGAAATCAGTGTATTTTGTATTATTAAGAAGAAAAGGATGAAGTGTTGTGTTTTATCGTGTAAAAACTACTCAGATAGACGCTCTGAACGCTATGGATGGTATCACATTTCATGTGTAAGTAATTATATATCTAATTTCTTAAAATAATTCTAGAAAGATCTCTTTGCATCGGATTTCAAATATAATTAAATATATTCGATACTAGATGGCAGCACTTTGTGTCGTGTGAACTAAAAATATAAAGGTAAGTCGAGCTCAGTATTGGTAAAACAATCATACGAAGGTGCTGAAATTGTTTTTTTGAAGTTGGTTTCAGTCCTAAAGAATTTTTAATCGCCAAAATATTACCTTTATAGATTTTATAATCATTTTGTAAACAGGCCGCCATCTACCGTCAAGTAAAAGAACAATCAAAAATAAAATAAAAAGATAGGGCCGTAATTAGAATCCAATTATTTTACCCAGTTACCCACGGCTTAAAATTAAGGAAATATTACTTAGGCTGATTTTTTACGAAAGGTCTACAATGTATATAAATACTTAAATATTTAGCATTTTGTAAAAGTCAACCTTCAAGAAATATTCATTTTATCCTTAGTAAAATAAAGTCTTCTTGAAATTAAATATTTTATGTACAGTATTCAGTCTCCTTGAAACTTTTCTTAAGAAAGACAACTATTATAACAGTTGTAGTTCAGTTAGTTAAAAAGCTCACCTAGGTTATTTTATTTACAGCAATGGATAGCAAAAATTAATAGAAAAGACTGGACTCCGACAAAATATACAAAGATTTGTTCGTGCCATTTCAATGATGACCACTTCACAGTTACAAAAAAAAGGCTTTAAAAAATTAAAGCTGGGAACTTTACCCAGTATTAATCTGGATATATCGATTCGTTTGGATGCACTTTGTATTTTACTAGTTTTCTTATTTTGGTAGAAGGAGTTAATTTCATATTGTTGTTCTATACTTTATATTATAGATTAAAAGAAAATTACTAGAGCCCTCAATATCACCACCTAGGCCTACCACAAATGATTTAAATGAATTTTTAATATTTCACGATTCCCCTAGAAAGAAGAAGCTAAAGCGAGAGATAGAACAACTTCGATGGAAATCGAAAAAAGGTGGGCTAAAGATCAGAAGACTTCAAATGAAAGTTAAACGTTTGAAAAAGAAGGTGCTTATATAGTGACACTACTTTCGCTTCACATACAACTTTAAGATGTTTTTTTTTTCTAAATGTAATACGCTTTAAGTACGTTTCGCTTTTGTTTTAGGTTCAAAATTAAACTGCCTTAATTACAGAATTAAGGCAGTTAAATTTTGAACAAAATTCAGAACAAACATCTTTTACAGGGAGAGAATTCCGAAATTTTATCTTCAATAAATGTAAAGTTGAAAGACTTGGTTGGGCGTCAGTAGTATACCGACACATACATACGACATAATAGTCCAGCCGTTAGTCAGCGTGAAAAAATAACACATTTACAGTACATAATTAGCATGGGATAAGGTCAAGGAGAAAGAAAGAACATACAAACTTTCGCTTTTATAATATTAGTGAATTTATTAGGATTATTGTTATAGTAGGAGTAGGATTTTTTTTTTCATAATAATATCGGTATTTCAATTTAGAAAAAAGATGTAATTACAAGACGATTCACAAAATTAATCTTGCAATAAATACTCCCTGATACGAAATTTCTGAGTACGTCCCCTTATATCCCACACCAAGCGTAAAGTAGCTAAACTATATTGCAACATCGATATGGAACGATGCGAGTAGTTTTACTATTTACCGGTAGATGGAAAATAGTTAAGTGGGCGGCGCTTAATACCCCCTCACCCCGCAAATTGTCACGCGTTGTTACATAGTGAAATCTAATTATAACATCTCCTCTTTATATTTGCTCCGTGATGCTACAAATGCAAAAACATAGTTGACATATAAAAGACTGCGTTATGTTCAATATGCAGAAACAGGTACGAATTAGAATGTGATGGCTACCCTGAAAAAACATATCACCTATTGGATCAGACCGGCGATGTAAAATGTGCATTAAAAACAAAAAAGACATCAATAGCGATATGCGTAATATTACAACGAGAAAGAAACCTAATCTCACAGAACGTACTTCGCCGTCACCAGATAAATTGTGTAATGCAAATTAATTTCAATGTTTTGAATCTTCACAGTTATCGGACCAGAACACTTCTTACGTGCTGGATTCTCACATACTTACCGATTACAATATATCTGATGAGTCATTCACCACGCCTAGTAAACTGTCTAAGAGGTAGACGGGACCGTTACAAACATAACATTAATCTTTTAAATGAAAGTAACGATATCTCAGTTAACCTGTACACTTGAAAGTCCTCAAAATGAATTAGAAAATTTGATATTAGAAAATAATGATTTACACAGACAAATACATAAGTTGACCTCGGAAAATAAAATTTTAAAATCACTCTGCCATTCTCCTACAAAAATAGGAGGTAGCCTTGGAGTTTGTAATAAAAATAAAAGACACTGCTTATTAAATTAATAACACATCTTCTGTACCATCTTCGCCGATAGTCAAGTCAAACGTTAATCCCAACACTAACACCATCATGATATGCCTGCAACAAAAAATCAGCGACTTGCAAAAACAACTTCAGGATGCAGAGAAAGAGATAACGGAAAAAATAACAAAACAGGCACAAAAAAAAAATACTTTACAACCTCGATAGAAAAACCGAACAAGATCTCATATCCCATCACAGTACAACATAAACCCGACCCTATAAAAAAATTCACATCATCTCAACAATGAAAACAATGCGTCGGCCTGGCTGCAGCTATATCATATTCGAGAAATATGACTCAATACGAAAAATATGAAGTTACTGTTCAGACGAAGCCATATGCACCAAGCTATGAAATAATAAAAAACTGTCAAAACATGATGCTAAAGTCAGACGATAAACTTATAATTTGTGTAGGGGAAAATGATTACAATATACAGCTAGTTTTATCACAGCTACAATATTTTCTAGACACCTTTAGTAATAATACGATAATTGTGCTAAATTTTATTAAAAATATATATATAAATGTTAATAAATTAAATTATTTTATTATAAATATATGTAAGAAATATAAAAATTGACATTTTTTGGATTGTAAACACTGTAATCGTTCGGAAATTTGTAAATTAATTAATTATGTTATTGACTGTAATGATTATGCAAACAAATATTTAAACCCTAGCGAAATCAGTAAACGTATAGGAAGCAATAAATCAAGTTTTAAAATGTGTAAAATCTTAAATGATCCCAAAAAGGAACAATCCCATTTTATTTTAAGAAACAAACTGACATCTCTGCAAAACCAGTTGAACGTTTTAGAGAGGAACGATACCTTATTATTTTCCCGTAATAAAAAAGAATAATACATTTTTTCAACCGTAAAAAACAAATTCGTGCTGCACATAATTTTATAATTTTACATCAAAATATCGCCAGTGCTTTGTTAAAACAAGATTTAATAGAAATAACTATACAGGAGTTATAGGAGAGTAACATTGACCCGAATGTTATTTGTCTTTCGGAAACTTTTATAAAAAAAGATTGTGAGAAGTTTTTAAAATTAACCGGTAATGTCATGGCCGCCAATTTGTGCAGAGAAAAGCAAAGAGGGGGAATCTGTATCTTAGTTAAAAAAGGATTAATTTTTAATGAACTGTCATTAACAAAAAATTAGCGTCGCAGAATACGTTTGAAGTCCTGTGGGAATTCTGTATTTTCTGTATTCTGTGACATACCCAGGTATCCGTATGTTTCAGCCTCGGAAAGGGTCCTTAAGTTGACGGACATAGATAAGTCTATGCCCTCAGAGTTAGCGACCCTTCCCCTATCAACATGGAGGACCGCATACTTATCCGTCCCCAGCTCCATTCCAATAGAATTGCTAAATTCACAAGTGATGTTCAGCAATTCCATAAGATGGGAGCGACTGGAATCGAATAACTTGAGATCATCCATATAGAGTAGGTGGGTCACTTTTGTACCTCCTTTCCGAAGCTGAAATCCCCTCCCGGAGCCGTTCAGTAAGGTACTGAGAGGGTTCAAAGAGAGGCCGAACCAGATTGGACTCAGACAGTCGCACTGGAAGATACCCCTTCTTATCCTTATGCGGCTTTCCGCAGCCGTCATCCGCTCACCTATTGTGTAACCTGATTTAGCTCCAGATGATGAGTGATTCTCGTGCTCAAAATGAATGTCAGGGTCTTATATATGGTGGGTAGATAAGTGATGGGGCGGTATTACTGATATTTAGGAGCCAAGTGAGTGATCCCAATAGTAAAGAGGCTCGGAAGTGACTTCTGATTGAGAGCCACTTGAAACTGTCGGGCGAGCACAGCGTGACACACTACGAACCCCTTCAGCCAGTAATGATGGAGCCCGTCGAGGATCCCCCTACGGACCGCCTCAGCCACGTCTTCCGGCGTAATGGTGACGAGGTTCATAGGCATAACACTCGCACGCTGGCTCGCCACAACTTCCAACCAAGGGCCCTCGCTGTGGTTTACGGGCTCTGACCACAGGCCACGCCAAAGTGCGACAGTGTCAGCCTGATCCGGTCCTGGGCTCGCTCCACATACCTCTGGTCGCTCCAATGATTTATACAGCCTCTTCTGATCACTATGGAAGAACTGATGAGGATTCTGGTTGAACCGCCTTGACCTCTCGCTAAATCGTCGAATCCGCTTCCCCCAAGCAGCGATCTTTTGCTTCAGGTCGTCTATGCGCTCCGTTAGTTTCTGCGTGATATCCGGCTGGGATAAACTGATATTTGTCCCAGAAAACGCCATTCTAACGGTGCGCACAACCCTCGGTCTATTATTACCCGACCTGAAGCTTGTCAATCTGCCGATAAGGGCCCTTGCCGTTGCGATACGGTCCTCTATTCTTTTTCTCCAAACTGGGATGGCGCTACTTTGTTTAGTAGCGCGTCTAGCCATGGGAAGTTTGGCGCCAATAATACGGCAAGCTGCCACTGCGGCGCCAAAAAGAACTGATTCCGTCTCGCAAAGGTCCCGGCTGGCCTCCAAATAGGTTACCAGCATTGGGTTAGGAGCCCTCATGACAGTCCGATTTCGCTTGCTTAGGGGTATGCGGGGAAGTCGCGGTTGATTTTCGAGAGGCACGCTGCGAGTTTCCAAAATCGCCTCTTCCAATTTACTCCTCATTTGCTCTAGTTCGTGAGAGACCATTTCATCATCGTCCGAATCAACCATAACTGGAAGATCCGTGGCAGCTTCTACGCGTGGCAGCTGGTCTGTCGCCTGAGGAGCCGCATCCCCAGCCGTAGCCAATTCATTCGATGAGAGAATGGCATAACGTCGTAGTTGTTCGAGCTCGGCATCATCAAATATTTTCGAGCGCATGATGTACCGAACTCGGTCTGCCAGGTTTTGTTCCGTGACGGGAATAAATAGCTCCAGCTCAGCAAAAAAGCAATGCATCCGAGCCCGATACGCTATCCCTGCAGTTTCTTCCCCTTTCGCCCTATAGTACGCCCGTAATGCGTTTGCGTTCATATCCCTTGTCCAACGCATGCGGCGCACTCCACCAGCGGCGGATGCCGTTTGCCGAGTCCGAGAGGACCCTGCCGACATCAAGCCGCCTGGTGGAGATGATGGATGCGGGAGGCTGCTAGGTGATCTTGCAGCTCCTCGCGCTCGGTTGGCGGCCCGCATGCTGCCGCGTTCAGCGCCAGCTCCAGATGCGCCCCGGCGACCCCCAGGCAGCGGCCCTATACGCTTTCTATTACAATCCATCATCCATTTTTGGGCGCCAATTAACGGGAGACGCCCAGGCCCGGCAACGTTTCATTGTATCATTGTACGGCCGTAAGCACAAACGGGCCTATGCACCCTGAGTACTGCCGAGGCACGGCGGTCACACCTCTTGGCAAGGCGCTGACTGACTGCACCGACGTAGCAGTTTTGTCACTTAACTGTTTCGTCAGCGGGAGATGGGGTCGTCACTTCCCTACGCCTATTTATTATTATTGGGGGGTATCAATATAGTTTTCTCATCTGGTTGGGTTCTATAAACATATAATTATAAATGAAAATGAAAAGATAAATATACATAAATATCAATAAAATTAAATAAATATAAAAATACATATATAAATAAAAACCCAACCAGATGGAGGCCCTCGGCAGGGGAGACCAAACGGCCGAGGGTTAGGGGGAGGGAAAGGGAAAGAAACTGGTGGGCGATGCGGGCGGTATCGAGTAGCACCGCCTTCTGCATTTGAGCCTGGAGCGGTCCGCCACGTAGTCCCAGCCGCTCAGATGACCCGAGAGGCCGACTGCGATTATCCCGTTTGCAGAAACGACTACAGAAATAATTTCGGTCGGCAGACCACCACACATGTCGGTCACCTAGTGAGCCAGGTCCAGATATTATGTTCGTTTATCTGTTTCGGTTTTCACGAGGTTCTCGTCATATGGAACGGTTATGTCCACCAAAAATATCCTTGACTGTGCCCGGTCCATCAACACAATATCAGGCTTATTCGCAAGAATAGTCCTGTCTGTGATGATGGTCTGGTCCCAATATAGCCTGGCGCGATCATTTTCGAGCACGGCTTCCGGCAAGTACTTGTAATACGGCAATTTCCGATCCACGAGACTGTATTTCAAAGCGAGCTCCTGGTGAAGAATTCTGGCTACTAGGTTGTGCCTGTGCAAGTACTCAGAGTTAGAAAGCGCCGAACAACCGGAGATGACATGCCTAAGTGACTCACCGGGATAGCTACAAGCTCGACAGATGTCGACGGTGCCATCCTTTAGGATGTATCTCTGATAGTTGTTGGTCTTAATAACCTGATCCTGTATTGCACAGACAAAACCCTCGGTTTCCCCGAAGAGATCACCAAAGCATAGCCAGTGGAGGGATTCTACTGTGTCTACGAAAGGCTCATATAGAGCCTTGTAGAATCTCCCGTGGAGCTCCTTCTCCTTCCATACGGTCTCCTGGTCGGAATTGCTCTGCACTGCCGGGTCTTGCCATTGCTCGTTGGAGCTAATGATAGAGGGGTAAGTCCTTTACCACAAGAAATGACATCCTTATAGAATGGATCATCCGATCTCGCCAGAAAATAATCACAGCGGCTGCACACTTCGCAATTGCACCATGTTTTCGCGGCAAGTCCAGCCTCATTACCGACGATCTCGGATGATGCATCCTATGGGACGTCATTGTAGTGCGGATTTTTCTATCCAGGGCGTTAAGTTCAGTCTGAGTCTACCTGAGTATGCCAAAGGTATACATGAGAACAGGCATGACCCAACCGTTATATGCGTGTGTCTTATTCGCACCGGACAAAAGGCTGTTAAGCACTTTGGTCAAGCGTGCATAAAACACGTCGCAAACTGACTGTTTCATACCAGCCTCATCGATACCGATGTTCTGTGACATACCCAGTCGTATCGGTATGTTTCAGCCTAGGAAAGGGTCCTTACGTTGACGGGCATAGATAAGTCTATGCCCTCCGAGTTAGCAACCCTTCCCCTTTCAACACGCAGGACCGCACACTTATACGTCCCCAGTTCCATTCCAATAGAATTGCTAGATTCACAAGTGATGTTTAGCAATTCCATAAGATGGGAGCGACTGGAGGCGAATAACTTGAGGTGATCCATATAGAAAAGGTGGGTCACTTTTATACCTCCTTTCCGAAGCTGAAATCCCCTCCCGGAGCCCTCTAGTAAAGTACTGAGAGAGTTCAGAGAGAAGCAAAACCAGATTGGACTCAGACAATCGCCCTGGAAGATAGCCCTTCTTATTCTTATGTGGTTCTCCGCAGCCATCATCCGCTCGCCCAGATAGCAAAGGATCGTACTCCACTGCCCCATACACTGATTGAGGACGTCTCCAACTGTACAGTGAATCTTGTACAGCTAGAGGACTCTCTTTAGCCATGTATGGGGCACCGAGAAGAATGCGTTTCTGTAGTCTATTCAGGCGGCGAAGAAGTTCCGACGGTTGCGTTTCACCACTTTGCCAATGACCGAGTCAATGAGGAGTGGTTCCTTGGTTCCATGATCATCGCCCCGACATCCATTTTGAGCGCGTGCCATCACCTGATTCTCGCACTCAAAATGGATTTCAGTGTCTTATATATGGTGGGTAGACACGTGATGGGGCGGTATTTACTCGGGTCTATGATATCCTGATCTTTAGGAACCAAGTGAATGATCCCAGTAGTGAAGAGGCTCGGGAGCGACTTCTGATCGAGAGCCTCTTGAAACTGTCGGGCGAGCACAGCGTGACACACTACGAACCCCTTCAGCCAGTAATGATGCAGCCCGTCGAGCCCCAGACTTTTCCAGTTCGGGGCCCTACGGACCGCCTCAGCCACGTCTTCAGGCGTTATGGTGACGGGGTCCATAGGCGTAACACTTGCACTCTGGCTCGCCACAATTTCCATCCAAGAGCCCTCGTTGTGGTTTACGGGCTCTGACCACAGGCCACGCCAAAATGCGACAGTGTCAGCCTGATCCGGTCCTGGGCCCGTTCCACATACCTCTGGTCACTCCAATGATTTATAGAGCCTCTTCTGATCACTCTGGAAGAGACGATTCTGGTTGAACCGCCTTGACCTCTCGCTAAATCGTCGAATCCGCTTCCCCCAAGCAGCGATTATTTGCTTCAGGTCATCTATGCGCTCCGTTAGTTTCTGCGTGATATCAGGCTGGGACAAACTGATATTTGTCCCAGCAAACGCCATTCTAACCGTGCGCACAACTCTCGGTCTATTATTACCCGACCTAAAGCTTGTCAATCTGCCGATAAGGGCCCTTGCCTTTGCGATACGGTCCTCGATTCTTTTTCTCCAAACTGGGATGGCGCTACTTTGTTGAGTAGCACGTCCAGCCATGGGAAGTTTTTCGCCAATTATGGCGGTCGATTATTATTATTATATTATTATTACTTTTTTTTCATTTCTCCCTCTGTATTGAGGGGTAGAAAACGGACACACGGGTCTTGACCAAGTGTGCACGCAGGAAAAAAGAAAGAATTACAATGATGACGGTGATGAGTTAAGAAATTTAGGTGTGAAACGACAGGTGATAAGTAAGTCTGCTTTTTGTATGCGTGTAAGAGTGGATTTAGGCATTTGCAGCATGTTGAGGCTGGTTTGAAGGATCTTTGGAACTACACCAGTTGTAGATATGATGATAGGAATGATTTTTACGGAGTCTACTTGCCATTGCCTTTTTATTTCGATAGCCAGGTCTACATACTTTGTAATTTTTTCCGAATGTGTAGTAATGAGGTTGTGTGTGTTGTAAACTGCTATGTCTATTATAAAAACAGATTTTTTTTAATTTTGTCTAGTATTGTTATGTCCGGTCTATTGTAATGTATAGTCTTGTCTGTTATAATTGTCCTGTCCCAATATATTTTGACGGAATTACTTTCTAAAATAGACAATTGCAGCAACTTGGTCATGTCTATGTTTGTAGTCAATTTGAACTATAGATTTACATGCGCCTGTAATATGTTGATTTTTTTTCTGAGCTACTGTGACATCGTCTACATAAGTTAGTTGGAGGGCTGGGAATATGAATAATGTGTTTTTGATAGTTACGAGTCTCTATTACTTGGTCCTGAATAGCAATTACAAAGGCCTCCGTCCCTGGGAAGAGTTCTCCACGTCGGAGCCACTCGTTCGACGCTTGCCTGTCAACATGTGCTTGACCGAGATCGGCAAGGTGCCTATCATGCAGAGACTTTTGTGACCACAAATCTATTTTCTGCTGTTTACTTACTATCTTGAGCTGAAAATTTCTGTCATATAGATTAAGAGGAGTTAGTTTTTTGTCTACACCTACAATATATTTGTGCAGTTGCGAATGTTCAGATTTAACATAGAAATATTTGCGAAATTTGTCTATTAGATTGTTGTGTAAATTTTTTATATCGATGGTGCCTCTCCCTCCATCTTGACGTGGTAATGTGAGACGCTCTGTACATGATCTGGGGTGGTGTTTTCTGTTTACTGTCATATGTGTATTAATTGTTATAAGTAAATATATCTAAACAGCGTAAGAATAATAACTAAACACTATTAAACATTAAATATAAAAAGAATATTTAAATGCCATATACCACCATAAAACACCATCCCATTAGTTGACTGTTAACACTTGAAAGTAAATCTAAGAGATAGGTACTATAAAATAAACGTAGTCAAATTGCTAATAACAGTAAACATCTAAAGTTTTAAACGAGTGATAAAATAAGGTAAAATAAAGACATTATATATATGCATAGATTAAAAATAAATTTAAATTTTAACTTAGTCTTAAAACTTCAATAACTGTAAAAAACATAAGATATGCTGTATCACTAATTCTAGCAGTATAAATTTTACTAAATTGAGTACATAATATGATATCCCAACTGCGTAATATACAAATCAATTAATATACAAACTAGCAAT